GAGCTTCTGACTTCTCCTTATATTAGTGGCATGGAGCCATGAGTACCTCTGGCGGGCGACTGCCCATGCAGTAACCTTTGCTGTACAGTCAGCTGAGTACCTGCGGCACTAATTTGGTGGCTGGCCCACCTATGTACCTCTTGATAGAAAGAAGCTTTTGATCTTCTGGCAGATGAAGGAGAAAAGGTTCTAATTTCTTCCAAAGACATTCATGATACACAATGATGGCAACCTGCTAGCTTCCTATCCTGGAGTAGCTCCACCTGTCATTAGACCAGCAGGATAGGGTGGGGAAAGTGCTGGTATACAGCTATATCTGCAACCCAGTGCTCTCCCTATCAGGGTGGAAGCCCCCCAGGCTTTTACTCTTGGGTGACTTCAATATCCATGTGGAGGTGGCGATAGCTGGGCCGGCCTTGGATTTCCTAGACATCATGACATCCATAGGTCTACCCCAACATGTGAAAGACTCTAAACACATGGCAGGACATACAGGCCAGGCAGGGAGATTGTGATCTGAGGGTGGCTGACCTGATGTCTTCTGCCATGTCATGGTCAAATCACTATCTGCTGAAGGTTGGACTCATACTGGTGACTGTTCCCTGTGGAAAGGCTGGCTCTATTAAGATAGTCTACCCCTGAAGGCTTCTGGATCTAATTAGTTTCCAGAATGTCTCAGGTAGGTTCCTTACCAACCTGGTTGGTGCTCCTGTCAAAACCCATGTCATCAAGTAGTGTACAACAGTGACTGTGGCAGCTGACATGATCACTCCCAAATGCCCTCTCCGGTGCAAAGCTTGGCCCTCACCCTGGTTTATGGATGAGCTGCAAGCAATGAATCAAAAATGGGGGAGGCTAGGGTGCAAATGGAGGACAGGTCCCTCGGACTCTAATCGGGCTGTTTCCTAACTACCTGCAGTTAGGAAACTGTCCAGCTAATATGGGAATGCAATAAAATCTCCAAAGAGGGTCTATAACACCAAGTTCATCAATGAGGCCTCAAATCAACAAGCACAGCTCTATCAAGGAATCCGCAGCCTCATCAATGTGAAATAGTCAAACATGGTCCAATCAGATGGGAACATCTGTAACTGATTCACAGTTTATTTTCAATCTAAGATAGCAGTCATCTAGCAGAACCTGGACTCCTTTAATGGCACAGTTAATCACGCTGAGATGTCCAATACACCACCTTGTCCTGTTTCATTGAATCATTTTCTACTTGTGATGCCTGAAGATGTGGACAAGGTGCTTACACACTAGGCTACCACCTGCCTGTTAGATCTTTGTCCACTGTGGCTCCTAAAACCTGCCAAAGACAGAATGATAGAATGGGCCACTCAGATTATCCACTCATCTCTATAGAAAGGACATATGCCTTCCTTAAAAAAGATTATTGTGCATCCCATTTTGAAAAACATCCAACTTATGGACAAATGATTTGAAAAATTTCAGGCCTGTCACCAACATTCCATTCCTGGGCAAGCTGATGGAGAGGGTGGTAGCTGATCAGCTGCAGGCATTCTTGGAGGAAATGTATAGTCTGGAAGTATTGCAGTCATGCTTCAGGCTGCAGCATGGCACTAAGACACCACTGGTCGCTTTGCGTGATGACCTTTGAAGAGTGGTAAGGTTGTGTTTCTGTACTGGCAATAAGAGAGGCATGAACAAAAAAAGGCATGGATGGAGCCAGAACAGAAGGGCAAGTACTGGTAAAGGGTTCAAGAGACAATATCAGTGGCAGCAAAAGTACAAGGGATGTTGTGTCAAAACTGAAAATCAAGGAAGATGACAGTGAAAGTGCCGGAGATACCAGTGGCAGAATCAGCAACGTTTGCATAATTGTTGGAGGGAAGGTTGCAACTGGTAAATATATTCAGGTGTTGGAACATGCAGGTAAAGAGAGTTGATGGCAAAGGTGGGTGGTCCTAAGTAATAACCAACAGATCTGGTTGGTGATGGGACTGGTAAAGGTGTTGATGGTACTGTTGACAGGGCAGGTGGTTGTGAATTAGCCTTTCCACAATGGGAGGCCTTAGTGTCCCTGGATTTACTTGGCTTCTGAGGTTCAGGCCCAGGTGAAGCGGCTGAACATGTAGAGCCATGCCTCTTTGACTTTGGAGCAAGTGTGTCCCTCCCTGGCAAAGAGTGGGAAGAGGCCTCAGAGCCTGTAACAGCTTGAGATTTAGTGGCTGTAGATGAGATTGGCCTGCCTTGACAGTCAGCATGGCGTCTGTCTCTGAGCTCAGAATCAGTATCAAATATCAGGTGCCTTTTGAAGTCGAGTATCAATTCTGCCTCGATGGGTGATGCAATGAATCAGGGGCAGGCTGAGGAGACAAGGCTGACGTTCCCAAGCCAACTGATACAGAAGCCAAGGAGATGGTTTGCAAAGTATCTTTGCAATTCAGACCGAAGCAGTGTGGAGGGGTCAATGCTCTTAAAGCCTGTTCTGTGGCTTTAGCAATTACTCCCAAAGAAATAGCCTTTAGTTTTGACTTTTTAACGTGATGCCTTTGCTTCATAAAGCCTTTACAGATGGTACAAAACTGCAAGAGGCAAAGTTCTCCCAAGCAAAAACCAGTGTTTGGAGTGCTGGGCAATGTTGGGAAATGCTCCCTCCACATTACACATTTTTTGAGCTAGGCAGAGCCTGAAGCTGCTGAAAAAAACACGACAGGATAAACTGAATAAAACTATGACGAAATTAGTCAAATAACAGAATTGAATATAGAGGTATATAATAGGCTAAGAGAGAAAAACGTAGAGGAAAATTTGCTAACACTTCGCTGTAGGAAGTTTCAAAGTCACTCTGAAGGTGAAGAAAAAGAAAGGGGAGAGCTCCAGATTACAGCCCTTCTTTGGAGTGTTTACTGCATTCCCATATTAGCTCCTTTATATCAGGGGTCCACAACCGTTTTCACCCCGCAGACCAGCTGGGGAAAGCGGGGCACCCCCTGTGCTCATGTGCATGTGTGAACAAGCGCGCTCTCTCTTGTGTGCATGCGCAAATGGTGCTGCTGCACTTGTGTGGGTGCATGTACTCATGCGTATGCAACCAGCAGTGCAGCACTTGCATGTGTGCGCTAGAGTGTGCATGGATGCGCAAATCAGCTGTGCAGGGGTGAGTGTGGGGTGGTGGTCTGCCTCCACGGCCTGGTCCAGCTCAGGCCGCGGACCAGCACTGGGCCGCGGACCGGGGGTTGGAGACCTCTGCTTTATATGAATCAAGGACAGTGTAGGCCCAAATGCTTGGCTGTGGAATATTCCAGAACAACGCTCTGCACATGCATTCAATTCACTTGTGTGATTCACAGAGACCACAAAGAAGAATAGTCAGGGTCACACAATATCTGATGTCAGTCCTGGGCTCTTCCAAGGGTGAGGCCATGGGCAACTATCTCATGTAGGCTGGCTACCAAGAGCTTTGGAACCAGGCAAATGACAGAATCAACAAGTAAACCAAACCAAAGGATAAACCAATACACAAAGACTGAAGAAAATGGAAGACAGAAGAGTGCATTAGGAACAAAGGTGGGGAGTTATGACCCCTGCATTTTTCTAGCCTGTAATTCCCATTGGTTCTACCCAGCAGAGCTGGAACTAGAAATGTTGGGCACCATTCTACCCATAGGCACTGAATGTGAACTACCTACCACCAAGGAAGAGGTAAAACTCCACACAAGAAGGTGAACAGGGCAAGGAGGCATTGCTATTTATTTCTCTACCACTCACCAACATTCAACTTTGAATTTCCATACCCCTTAAAGTTTGGCACCCTGGGGCAAAGCTCTGGATGCCTGGCCCTAGCTATAGCCCTGCTGTCCAGCATGGTCGATGGTGAGAATCTATGGAAGCTCCTCTCTCATAACATGTAAAGGGCCACAGCTGCCCACCCCTGCCCTAGAGTTTGCTTGCAAAAACCTTGTTAGACGCACATGGAACAGCGTGCTCTCCTGTACCTCTCCTGACAGGAAGATGGCATTGCATCCTTCTGCCTAGGAGGATACAATGGCAAGTCGGGGCAAGCATCTGTCTCCTAGAGCAGACCGGAACCTCAGATAGAGCTGCCATCTGCACTTTACAGGCTCACCACATGAGGGAAGTACAGGAACTATTCCCGATAGTCTTAGGCTATCTGAGATGTTAGTGAAACAGTTTTGCAGTCCCATAATGAGAACCTTAGATCCTTCAGATTAAAATCTGCGCTGGAAAAGAAATTCCCAGCTTGCCCAACCCTCCTCTCACTCCATCTTCTCACCTCTCTAAGTAACACTTAACTGTCTGAGGCTGGGGCAGTGTATCAAGGGAGAGTTGCACTTATCTGCTGATCCAGCCCTAGAGAATGTAGTTTTGTTTAAAGTGAAGTGGATTTGAGGATCAAGGGGGCTAGGTGGGTGCCAAATTCAGACTGGCTTGGAAATAGACAAATCTATTTATTTTTCAGGACAGAGAGATTAGCTTATTTCTAAGTGCATCTGGCATGAGATACTGGGATTCTGACCATCTCTCTCTAACCTCAGTGGTGACTTAGGGCCAAAGAGGAAATTGGACGTTATTCTCCAAACATCACCTGATTCATTACAGATCATCAGCTCTGGGCTCATCCCATCCTAAATAAATTTTTGGAACATTTACCCTGCAATCCTCAAGCATGGTTGTTGTTGTTGTTATTATGTTTCATCAATTTGCTTCTGACTTGTGCCGACCCTATGAATGACCTTCAGAAGATCCTATCGGTCACAGCTCTGCTCAGATCCCACAAATTCAGTCAACCCATCTTTTATTTGGTCTTTCTCTTTGCCTGTCGCCTTCACCTCTTCCCACTTTGTTGACTAGGAAATAAACCCAACTGGAATCTGTGATGCTCAATACCAGCTGAGACGCCCATACAGACTTGCTGCCTTAGGTTCCCCATCCCTACCCCAGCCTCTTGGAGGGTACGCAGCACATGAGCTGCTGTGGCTGCTGTTGTCATTTGGAGAACCTGTAATACTTACCTAAGCCTAAGTAAGTAAGGTGCTCAAACAGAGTCCAGCTGTGGTCATCAACGTAATGGTTCTTTAGTATAAGCAACTGGCATAAATCTCTGGCTGTTATATCACTTGGTACTTCCAAAGTTCTGCTCGTTTCATCTTCACTGTATACTTTAATTACCTGAAAAAAGGCAGAAGTAAGTTACATATCATACATGAATAACATTCATATTAAGCAGGACAGGAACATGTGTGGTCTTCCAGATGTTGGATTGCAACTCCAGCCAGTTCTAGCCAAGATAAGGTAAAGGTAAAGGTTCCCCTTGACAATCTTTGTCCAGTCATGTTCGACTCTAGGGGGCGGTGCTCATCCCCGTTTCCAAGCCATAGAGCCAGCGTTTGTCCGAAGACAATCTTCTGTGGTCACATGGCCAGTGCGACTTAGACACGGAACGTGGTTACCTTCCCACCGAGGTGGTCCCTATTTATCTACTCGCATTTGCATGCTTTCAAACCGCCAGACAGCCAATCACAAAGGAAGGCTACTCCTTCCCTATCCCTAGTATAAAATACCAAACAATGACTTCATTTGCCAGTAAAATTGTTTCATAGCTGGACAGGTGAAAACTGCAGTAAATGTTGCTCTGTAGGTGATTTTTAATCTAGCGGACTCAGATTTAATAATTCTCTGGAGAGAGAATTGTGCAGATAAATCCAGCAGGGACTGGAATACGAGGAAGCAATGGCATAAAGTGCCTGGAATAGTTATGTAAGTTGGAACCCCAGATAGGGTGAAAGGTGAAAGCACAGCCCAGTGGTAGGGAATCTGCTTTGACCACAGATGGTCTTAGGTGCAATTCCAGGGACACCAACCTTTAAAAGTCTCCAGGTAGCAGCAGGCACCTGGAACTCTGGAGAGCTATCCCCCCCATAGGAATAGAGAAAGGGTGGTTAAGCTCTGGGATCCTGAGGTCAACTCCCCCACCCATGGGCAGCACCAGCCTCTCAAATACTGTATAAAAGAGCAAAGGGGGGGAGGGGGATGAAACCAGAAGTGGCTGGACGTCCCCTTCCGATTTTGCTTCTGGGTGGGCCAAACAAGGTATAAGGGGACTCTATGCCTTTTAGGCTTCCAGAAGCAGAAACTCACCTTTTCGAAGTGGGGTGTGAAATTGATGGAAGGACATGAGATGGGGGAAAGGGGTGGGCAAAAATCCAGGAGAAGAGTTCAGCCTCACACACACACACACCCCCAAAAAAACCCAACAAGTCTTGCGGCTCCACACAACTCCTCAGGCTTCGATTTGCTCCATAATATTAGGTTAAAGAATTCTGGGCTAGACTCAGTATAGGTTATTGACTGGGCTGGACAGCAAGTTCATATGGTTTAACTGGAGATGCTTGTAGTTTGGGAGAGAACCAAATACTGTTGCTTTTATGCTCACAAAACACCTGCTGTGTCCAAGAGGAGAATACAAGAGACCGGCAGCTACCTACAGGGGTTCCTGGAAAGACAGAGTGCATGTACAACCCTCCTGCTTCAGCCCACTGCGTATGTGCCATGTTAGGAGTATTAAAAGCCATGTTTCTGTACTCATGGGCTAGAACCCCTTCTCGTGATTTCATCTGCATGTTAGTAAAACACTTGAAAGGAGGAACTTCCTGATCTTCCACCACAGCTTTTTCTGTCTCTTGACCAGTGCCTAACGTCATTTTCACTAAAAAGGCAGGGGAAATCGCACTGCAGAATAAAAGCTCATAGGAGTCCTCATATCTGCCTGCAAAGCATCAGTTTATGGGATTTCCCAGAGAAAACTGGAATTCACATTAGCTCACCATTCCTCAAACTTACTTTTGTTCTGCCTCTTTAAAAGTGTCCATTTCACTACTAGAACTCTACAACCCATTCCTTAGGCATTATCCCTACGTGAGATCTTGTCAGCAGGCCCTCAGAAAGAATCAGAATGTCCACAGAGCAAAGATTTCCTGCTAGGAGCAATAACTGTTCAATGGCCCATTCAGCATACTTCATGGCAAAAATGGCAATGAGGAGGTCAAATTCTGACCTACAAGAAGCCTACAGTACATTATTTGAAAGAAGACTGGGATGGAGAAACAGACCAGCACTTCTCTCAATAGCAACCAACCTGATCTTTCCCTCCGTTCTAGCACAGAGAGTTCTGCCAAGAAAAGAATCTTACGAGCCCTGGAAGCTGCTGGTCCTGCCAATTTCCTTGGTTACTATATGAGGCATAATAAACTATTTCAAAAGTCAGCAAAGTGGTGGGAAGAGTAGTCAAGCACTATTCAAAGGGGAGTGAACTGTATATGGTTTAACTAATGGTATATGTGGTATCCAGGCACTACAACGTTGCTGTCTGAGGGCTTACAAATATTTTTCACCAAAGGCACTCTTGCCTTCTGTGCAACCCCCCTCTTGTACTACTAGACTGCTGTCGGTTCAGATAGATCCCCATAATAAAAAGCCTCATAAAGCTCTGTGAAGGTCACTTCAAGTGCAGCCTTGACAGTATGGAGAGTAAAATTAAAAATAACAACATGTTGTTGTGTCTTTGAATAAAATGGAACTCTCTTCAGCAAAGGGATGCGATAGAAAAAGGAAATTCGCGAATCAAGGGACACAATTTTAAAAAGTACAAGCATGCTGAGTAGCAGGTGAAAATATATATAAGCACCTAAAGTGAGTTCTCTGTGTGGATGCAAGAAGGATTATTAAGGTCTGTAGGTCACTGATTCTGTCCAGAATTAGGAATATGTATCAGATTGCTTTTTACACAGATATCTAGTGCAACAAAAAGCAATGGACTGAATCATGCTGCAGACCATTTTTTTATGGAGAAAACCAGTTTGTGTACCATAATATTTTAGGAACCAATGGATGTGGGGGCCTTGGGCATAACTGCCTCAGTGACTCCAAACATGCACACAGAGGTGAGCACATACACACATCCTATGGAAGAAGATACAGATAAAAACTGAACAGCTCTTTCACTCTGCACCAAGTTCTTAACTCTTCTGGAGGGCCAAGGGGAACAGTTACAGCACGAGGCCCTCTGGCCAGCCTTGGGACCCTGGTAAATCCCCAATTTTCCCATCCTCCTGACAGAATCAGCCCCAAATACTAACCAACATGTATCTGAAACTTCTTACCACTACGTATAGCTTGGAAACAAAATACCGAGACACGGCCTTGAAATGGTTTACAAGAACTTGAGTCACTTTGGGGAGGGAGTAATCCACCCGATTAAAATACTTATCTCACATGACTCCATTCAAAAGCCTTCATTGTTGGCCCACGCTGTTTGCAACCCTAGCAATAACACTTTTATTATACTAAAGCTTTCATTTATGTACATAAGTTCACTTAAACCAGGACAACGCGACCAATCGCTACTCCTTGGGGCGGCTACAGATTACGTCCAGAATCAGCAGTGGTGTGTGTGGCTACAGGTTCAAGTTGCCAGAGATCACCAACAGCAGGATAATATTGAACAGTCATGTCCCACTTGTGAGTTTCCCAATAAAACATCTGGTTGACCACTGTGGGGAAAGAATATATGACAAATAGAGTATATTTGAATGAGCTGCTTTTTTTTTTACTTGACAGAAACTCTTAGCCTTTAACTTTTTAATGACGGGCAGAAATTTGGCAGATACAGCATGCAAGGTACTATAATGAACAAAAAAAAGTCATGTCTATTAAATGTATCCGTCTGTTATAGGCCCAGAATTGGGTTATTTTGCATGTAAATTATTCCGTGTATAAAATTCCTCTGCTTTTCAGGTCCAAAACTAAGCGCTTTCCCCTCTGTCCATCTTACGAAATAGCCACACATTTAAAACAATCACAGTGGCTGGCCTCGTACACAAGTATGTCCAAACATATATTTATTTTAAGGATTTAGACTATGCCACCCAGCCAGTTCCCATTTAACCTTATTTACTGTAATTTGAAAGAAGGCATATATGGAAATTCTCAAGAAGGGCAGAGTCCCCAGTTTCACATATTTTAAAACGAGGAACCGGCTACATACACACATAGTGCATTTTGCCAACGGTGCTGTGTTTATATTGCATATTCGGGCCTCTCCTCTCCCCACACGTAACCACCTGCATTCACTCTCACTACGTCGTCTTGCCTCCTCACTCATCCCCCCCACACACACACACAAAAGTCACCTACCCGTTTTTGCAGTACTATCGGAGTTATCACAGGCAGGGTTACCCTTCTTCCAGACAGGCTCATTTCTATTATTCGCAGAAATTATTAGCTCAAAAGCTCCTGTCCAAGAAACTTGTAAAATAAAGATAATGTCTTGGGAGGATCAATTTTCCAGCGTACACCTTAATGAGAGCCGCTGCAAAGAGATGACTAGGAAAGCAGTAAAAGACATGCTGCTTTTCTGTGAATCTCCTCCTTTGGGGAAGCCAATTAAGGATGACTCCCAGACCAGCCCACACCAATGGCAGGCCAGTCAGGAGTGTGTGGGGAGGGCTTCGCCTCTGCCCTTGGGAACACATTCTGATTACTTCTGTTTATTATATTTAAAGAGCCAGGTTTAAACAAGCCTTAAAATCACTCAAAAGCCTCTCTCCACCCATGCTTTCATCTATCAAGCTGGGAATTGCATCTGACGTCTCCCACCAAGAGAGAGCAAATATTTTAGCTTGGAACAGAAGGCATGGGCACCTCGCACTTAAGCAGCTCTGCAGTCTTCAGAAACAAAAATGGATCATCAAGCACAAGCCAAACCTTTCTTTGGACCCATCCGGGACACCGTCGGTAGGAAAACTTTTATACATGGCTCAGTGGAGATTGGATTGGTTCAGTGAAATTAGTTATCTTCCTGTGTATCAATTACCAGATTATTTCCTGACCAGGTCACAAGATGTACCCTTGGGAATCTACCATCTTCCCTCCGGATCAATCCAGCACAGTTTTCTGATGTGTGAAAGACATTTAACAGAAGCGGTCATTTTGGATCACAACATTTCTATTCACATAAGTTTTTTAAAAAAGGATCACCAATAAGGACTGCACAATTCCTGAAAACTTGCAAAGCAACACATGCACACACTGACATGTGTGAATGAATATAAAATATCCCTAAATAGCCGACAACTTGCTCAGCATGCAGGATATGCCAAAACCTGCAATCTTTATTATCTTGAAACAGCTGGAATGCAGCCAACAATAGACCAGAGGAGAAAGAGTGACTCCAGGTCACATTAGTTAGCTAAACTAATCAGTTACCGGGGGGGGGGGGGGGGGTAGTTCAAGTCCTAATAATTCACATCTTAGTATTGCTTAGTACAAGAGTATTAGCACATCCTACTAAAGTTACGTCATTTACCCTCTCCCTCTCCGTCAATCCCCCCCCCCTGTGTGTGCAAAGCCACAGCAAATTTAAGTCCTTTCAACAGGATTGGACAAAAGCACTGTGCTGTTTTCAGGCTGTGCCCCCACTCAAATCACAGTGTCATCTTCAATCCCTACTTTTTCCCCTGTGTAACAAAGAGAGATGCAAGATGCTCTCCGAAACAAAACTCTGCTCAGTTTATGCCGAACAATGCGAGTCAACAGAAGTTTGCACAGATGTCGCCGGCTGAAGCAAACCCAACAATGCAAATTAAACATCTCCCAACTTGTACTGTATCTCATTAAAAGCACAGCCCCTTTTCCTGTTTGGACTGCTTTGCTCTTAAGTAGCCAACTTTTTCAGCAGTGTTCCACGACATCACAGGAGTACACTCAACAACTGTGACATCAAGCAGTTAAGCAACCGATGACACAGAGACCATAGCATTTACCTTAAGATTTGTTCTTCCAACTTAGGAAGAATCCATAAAAACTAAAATTGTCAAACTAATCTAAAATTATTTCTGCTGGAATCTGATATATAATGCTTTGTTTATATATTTCTGATCATAATGAAAACAGTGGTATGGAGGCAGCGTCAAAATAAAATAGACATATAAGCCAAAGATGATAACATTTGTTCCACTGATCAAAGAGCCTGTTCACAGCAGCTCTGGCTGGGCACAAGAATTACAATGAATTATTATTTTTTAAACACAAGATTGGCATGTAGTTTCAAATGATTATGAAAGATGAGGAAAACTCTGCAAGTCCAACAGAAATCATAAAGCGATCTAGCCTGGAGTGAAATATGTGCTCTTTGTTCAATTACCTACAGAATCAGAGACTGCCAATAAAAATGGTAAAATCAGATACAACACAGCAATGTTTGGTTTGCTGCCAAAATAAAGAGTTACTCAGCTATAACCTTGGCTCATATTATTACCACGAAGCAGACGCCGCAGCAAAGCTGCTGTAGTGACAATATAATCACTTCTAAATTAGACTAAATACTCTTTTGGTTTATAATCTCTGCTTATCTTGAGCGAATCTTCAGCCACTTAGTTTTGGAAATTTCCACCGGGCACTCTGTAGTCTTCTGCATTTCTTTCCCTTACAGCAGAGATGCAGTACCTTGTGCATTTGATCTTCTTGGCTACCTTTTTGCCAAAGGCATTTACTCCAAAGTGAGTGCTGCTTTTCTCAATAAGCTCAGGTGAACCTAACCCCAAATAACACTGGGCTGTTAGTTTAAAAAGAAAAACACAGCAAGCAGCAGACTTGACCCATGCTTGCCCTAGACCTCATGCATCAAGAGGATGAGTCTGGAAGCCTTTTCCTTAATTCCCTGCAGTATCTTGGGTATTTCTCCAGAGCACTCAAGTGGGGTCTGCCATTTTAATTGGTCACAATGTTATGGCATCATCAAATTGCTCAGGGCTGGCTTTCACTACTGATGTGGAGGGTTCAAGCCCCACCTCCAAATCAGCTCCACCAAATTGGGTCCAACCCTCAAGTGCAAAGCCCCACTTTCTCTCATACAGAAATTCCTGCTTATACAATTCACCATGTGCTTTTTACTACAACCTTGAGGGAATTCCCCTCAAATTCTGGATATGTGTTTATTTGCTGTTTTATCAATTGTTTCAAATGGAAGAAAGAGAAAGAGGGCTTCTTCACTTATACTCTTCCCCCCTTACCATTTACTAATAAATTACATCAGTCAAAGATAAGGGCCAGCATTCTGTTCAATATGTACACAGTGGGAACTCCACCTACCTGCCAGCCTTTTGCCTCCTCACGCTCGGCCAGCATCTCATCATATTACTGCGGTAGCGGAAGGGGATACTGGCCAAGGTCTGGTTGCTGTTGTCGCTTAATGAAAAATACATTCTTTCATATTAAAAAAAAGACAAAGAAATCACATACAGTGGTAACTCAACTTACTAACGTCCTTACTTACGAACATTTCGAATTACAAACAGCTCCGTCCGCAAAATGTTGCTTCGACTTGCAAACGGAGCTTCCACTTACAAACAGAAACAGGCAGGGAAAAAAGGCAGGCAATTCAACTTTCTATATGTGGCGCCGAGGCTGCTTCTTTGTGCTGTAGCTCTTTCGGTAGTCATGGTGAGTGTCGCAGTTGGAGGCTTGGGAGAGCCTCTTGCTTCGGAGTGAGCCTGTGTGTGTGTGTCTCTGCAGGGAGGTAAGCTGCTGTTTCCCCCTTTAAAAAACTGTTCTGGTTGAGTTTTGGTGGCTCTGCTTCAGTGTGTGTGTGTGTGTGTAGGGAGTGTTTGTTTCTGTGCTCTGCTTCGGAGCGAGCATGTGTGTGCGTGTGTGTGTGTGTCTGTATTTTTGGAGGGTTTTTTTTTTCTTTCTTAAAGCTCACCAACAGAGGTGGCTCTAGTGTCCATTTGTTTTGCTGTTTTTTTGACTGTCTGTCTGTATTTTTGGAGGGTTTTTTTTCTTTCTTAAACCTCACCCACAGAGGTGGCTCTAGTGTCCATTTGTTGTTGTTGTTGTTGTTTTCTTAAAGCCTCAGCAACGGAGCACCTTCCGACTGGGCTTGCTGTGCTCTTTTTATGTTTTTAATTATTTTTTTCCCTCTGGGAAGCAGGGAGAGGGAGCCGTGGCTGCTGACCGGAGTGAGGGAAGCTCCAGGGGAGCAGAAGGAGGCGGGCAGGCAGGCAGGCCAGCGCTTTCCGGCCAGGTCTCTGGCCTTGGCCCCGTTCACTTCGGCCAGCTTTTGAGGCTCCCTTTCTCTCCTGGGTTTTGTTTTGTTTTTTGTTTTGTTTATATTTTTGCAGCCCCAGTGCGTTCCTATGTGGCTTGCAGTGTTTTTTTTCGGGGGAGATGTATTTTTTTTTTCGGCCAGAACGGATTAATCGTTTTTACAATGCATTCCTATGGGAAATGGTGCTTCGACTTATGAACGTTTCGAGTTACGGACACTGCTCCAATATGGATTAAGTTCGCAAATTGAGGTACCACTGTGCGCGGGCGCACACGCACACACACACACCATTCTTTCTTAAACTAACACGCGCACGCACGCACACACACACACACCTCTTTCTTAAACTGGGCTTCAGATATGAGGATGCCAGGAGTGGTTTTTGTTTTGTAAGAAAGAAAAGATGGTGGTGACAGCTCCAATACTGGAGGCATTTAAGAGAAACTTAGACAACCACCTGGCAGGTATCCTTTGATTTGTATCCCTGAATTGAGCAGGTGATTGGACCCAAGGGCCTTACAGGCCCCCTTCCAACTTCACTATTCCATGATTCTATGGTGCAAACTCCCTCCTTTGCTTGGAGGCAACCTGCAACTGAAGTGCAAAGGCAGGAGGAGACGTCTATTTTTTTTCCCAACGGTGCAAGGAAAAGGCACTCTGCACATCAACTCTTGAAGTCTGCTTTTTAATTCTAAGGGCTGGAGAAGAAGCAGTTGATGGCTGGGGACATACAGGAGCCTTTCATTGCAGATTCTGTTCTTCTTGCAATAGTTAACTGTAATTTCTGCTTAACAATCCCCTGACAGACGCAGCTGTTTACTGCCCCAGTTTTCTTGGCTCTAAAGTAGAGCCAATGTCTTCTAATTGAAATAAATTCAATAGAATGTGCATTATACGTATTTGACTTAGCAGTCTGCAGCTTGCATCAGAGCTCTTGTCTCTGGGAGCCATCTGTTCCATATACTTTTGAATACCCATTTTCTTGTGGTGTATTTGTCTCTCGGTTGTGCTCAAACCTCTGCACCATACACTGAGCCATGCAGCGGGGCTGGCTAAACCTTATGCTCTCGTGCAAAGGAATGCCCTTGCATTCATTTGTGAAAAAATGAAGACCATGCTATCTGGAATATGTCATTGCCTTAAGAATTTGTGTCATGATAGAGTCAGACTGATATTAAAACCTGATACCTTTATTAAGAGGAAATTAGATTTATAGGAAGGGGAACATCCTAAAGTAAATTATCAAAATGCAAAACACACACCATGTTAGCCTTCCCTGATGTCGCACCATGCCATAACTTGTCCCGTCACA